AATAGTCGTGCTGTGGAACTAGACATATACATACATATATCGACTGTTGATTCTCTAAGGACCAGTAACTGAATTGTCAGTCTATTTGCTTTAGCTTCTCGTTTCTATGCCAGCTAAAAGTCTAAACTCTTTGTTGTCTTTTGTGAAAAATATCAGCAGAACTTTGACATCTGCCATAGGGTAACTTCATTTGAATAGAAGGAACTATAAGATATGAACTACTTACTATAAGATTATAAGATCTCAATAAATCATTCCATGAATTCCTCTTAGGTTTTTAGATCTTTAACAAACTCCACTCAAGTCCAAATGGATGCTTGACTCACAAATATATTATACAAACTATATAACCAAATATAAACAAATACGCTAATGACATATAGAATCATAATATAATATAATATAATATATACATTCATATATTCATATATACAATATATATTCATATTCATATAGTATTATCATATTACAGTAAATATATCGTATTAATAAAATATTAATCTAATATACTTTTACTTGAAATTGTTTCATCAGAATTTAATTTTAACTTGCTCTACAATTTTTCATTTATAATAAATTATTATCTGCTCTTAAATTTTACTAGCTCATCATATCTTTTAAAATCGATCAATCGACCTTAGCGATAAATCGATCAATTTCTGCCATGAAAACTTTGAATATTCTCTAAGAAACAACTCAATTAAATTCCATTCTCTCAGCAACTTTCTTTCTAGATTATGCACCTCACTTCATACCTACTTCAAAATCAAAGAGTATCTAATCTTCGTCTTATTTTGTGCATTGTTTGTTTTTAACCCCTTGCTGCAGTTGCTTTGCTTGTTTGTTGGTGGCAGCTCCTGCGCCTTGTTTTAATAACATAATTGAAAAATGACTGAGGCCAGCCAAGCAGTGCACTGGCCACCAGCACACACAAGCACACACACACACAGAGAGACACATGGAATGTGTGTATGTTGTGTGCCGCACAGCTGGCTCTGATTACAGATGAGGAATGCGAAGGGTTGGTCGATCGCGTGCAATGCGTTGTTAATATGCGTTTGTCCTTTTAATGGTGCCCTGTGAGGCGGCAGTAGCAAAACAATAACAAGGCCCGCTTTATTACCGTAAATCAATAAGCGACAATCACACACGCACGCACACACTCACACACACACACACACACATCTCGGCTGATAATTAAGTGCAATTTTCTTGTTGTGGAATGACCAAAGCGTTTTGCACAGGACATAATGTCTTTTTACCGTTGTCTGTCATTTCGTCACAGTAAGAGAGAATGAGCGATGGAGGGAGAGCCACCTCTCTCTATCGTTCTCTCTCTCCCTCTTCCCTCTGTCCATTGGCAAAGTAATGAGCATTCCGCGCTCTGCCATCAAATTGAAACTATTTTGCATAGCATTGGAAGCATTTTAATTTGAATTTCTTTGCAAGTGATCAGCGCAAGACTCGAGTGCTGGAACTTGGCTGCTGGACTGCCCGCTGCTAGCTGCCTGGCTGCCTGGCTGCCCGCTGCCTGGCTGCCTGGCATCCCATTCACAATGGCAGCTCGCGCAGTGGCAGCGGGCGCCACTAATGGCGTCCATAGTTGCTGGCAACATTAAGGATAATTGTTGTAGTTAGCATGTACTTTTGCATTTATAATGTGCCTCATTTATTTCCGCTGCGTTCCTTTTCGCATTTCGCATTTTTGAATTACTTCTTTGCATATCGCCTCTACTCCTCCTACTCCTCTTCCTCCTTTAAACGATAAAAATTATAGAAAAAAAAAAATGTAAGAAAATGCTGATTATGCATTTTATTGCTTTCAGCTGTGGTGTTGATTGCGGCTGATTGCTTTAGGGCCAGGAGTAGGCGGCATAGCATTAGGCGTGGCGCTGCGAAATAGAATATAGCTGACGAGCAGCTAGAGCCAAGGTGGAATAATCATTTATTATGCAAACTATTTGTAATTGTTCGCATCTAGCAGCCCACGCTTTACAGTTTTATCAGCCTATATAAAGGAAGTTTCAATATGAAAACCCGTTTTTTATACAGTTTTGTTCTATGCCTATAAATAAAACAATTGTAGAAATTCCATCAATTACAGTTGCAAATATTGAAGCCTAAACCACTTAAGTGCACTTTCAGTTGTAGCTTTTCACAATTACCTAAGCTGAGTTAGGCACACACACACAACGGCAGCTGTAATCGTGTCTGTGCGTGTAACTAATGGCATCCAGCTATTTCAGTCCACTAATTGGCAGCCAATGAACACTTGCAAGCGCACTCTTATTAGCCACAACCCGATCCATTCGCTAGCTATCATAATTTCAAAGCTAAGCGCCAATAGCCAGAGGCAAGGACAGCAGCAGCAGCAGCAGCAGCAGTAGAGGCAGGAGCAGGAGCAGGAGCAGCGGCAGTGGCAGGCAGCTGACAGGCAGACAAACAAAATTGACGTGCCGACACGTCCAGCTAAACGGGCATAAGCGGGGCCAAGCCACGCCCCCGCCTGCTGGCTACCACCCGCACAACAACCAAACGAACTGGCTGACAGACAAACAACAACAGCAACAGCAACAGCAGCAACAACAATACCAGCAACAACTATAACAGATAGAGCAAATTGTTGGCCAAAATGATAGACAAATGCAATTTGGAGCATGGGCAGGAGGCAGGAGGCAGCAGGAGGCGGCAGCGAGTGTTTTTGTGTTAAAAATTGCATAAATAAATCATGTTCTAATATTGCACTTGGCCTTGCAGACAATCTGTCAAAATGCAGCGCACTCCACTCTCTGGCCGAGTGGGCTGACAGGGGTCGAATGGAGTTGCATGGAGTCGGAGGAGGCGGCACACATAGATTGGATGAGTGGCAGAAACAATGGCAACATGCCCGGCTACATGGCGTGAATGAGCGCGCACAAAATGGCGTTAAAGGCCGTCGGAAAACAGCTAAAAGGGCTATCGAACAATGGCACGAAAACCAATCGATGCCGGGCCATAGATAGCGGCCGGAGCGGAGTCATCTAAGACCCGGACAACATGCTCGTCCGGCTGGCCGGCTCTGCTGTTGCCTGGCAGCAGACCACCGCAGCCTGCACTTGACAATGCGCCGCGCGGCTGAACGTGAAGTGGGTGCGGGTCCGGGTCCGGGTCCGGTGCGATGCGATGCGGTTCGATTCGGCTCGGTTTGATTGATGCTGCGATGCTCTAGGGTGGACTAGGGTGGCCCTGACATACTGAATCGCCTGTCTGTTTTGGCGCTTAATTCGTCACTAAATGAGATTTTTGGCTGCCTGTTTTACTGCTCTCTCTCTCTCTCTCCCTATCTCTTGCTTTTGTCTATGTGAGTGTGTGTGTGCAGTTTTTTGGAAACGCGTCTGCTGCTGCTGGCATTGTTGTGCGCCGTTTGAAATTGGTATTTTGGAAGTTGGTGCTGTGGCTTTTGGCCGGCACTGCTATTGCTGCTGTTGCTCCTGCTATTGCTGCTGTTGCTGCTGCTGTTGCTGCTTCTGCTGTAGCCTGACGCTGGGGCAGTTGCAGCCACTTTGCAATAACACAGCGTGAAATTGCAACGGCAAATCGAATCAGTCCACACGGGAAATTCGATTCTCTTCCTGTTTTTTTTTTTTCTCTCTATTTTGTTCGTTTGTCTTTTTTTTGTTTCGTTGCTTTGCGCTGCCTTTTGCGGGCAATCAGACAGCAACAAATGCCTCGAACACCGCACGGGCAGCCAGAGCAACTGAAACAGTTGGAGCCGGCGAAAGGCATGTGAGTTGATGCAGATGGAGCTCTGCAATTTAGCACGCGCGAATTTTTTCAGCCAAAAAACTGTTGCCCAAATCGACACAGAGACACTCACAGATGCTCACACACACACACACATACTCAACTACAAAATAGGGATAACAGCGACGTGCTGATCGTCCAGTTGCCAAGTGGCCCACCAATGCTCCAGTGCAACAGAGCATCCAGGCATCCTGGCATCCTGGCATTCAGCACTCAGTCAGCCAGCTGTCCAGTTGTCCAGTTGTTCAGCTGTCCATCCATCAACAGCTACAGCTCGACTTTTGCTCGCATAATGAAATGAAATTACAAAATGTGTTGCACGAGTGTTGAGCACGCTTTGTGGCACTTTTGCATAGTCCGTTGCTCACACACATACACACACACACTCATACTCTCACACACTGATTGCTGGCACCTCATCCTCTGTTGTTCAACAAATTGCATATTTATTGTTTAATAGTGTGATTGCTAACAACATTTGAGATTCCACAGCACCAGCACCCCTCCCCTCCCCCCTTTTATTGTGTTCGCATTGGATATTCTGATTGGAAACAGGCGTATGTGCGTCTCCGGCGGACAGGTAACTGGAGCTTGTATACAAATATATACACATATTGTAGTTTGATTTTTGACTCTGTCTCTCCTTATCTCCTCCCACTCTCTGCCCCTCTCATACTGAATGGATTTTAATTTCTGTCTGGCTTTTCATGCCCAAACACAATTCCTTTGCAAAATGTTTGCTGAGGCTGCAAATTAAGCTGCCGCATAGAGATAATTGAATCCTCTTTGTAATATTTCGATGCAACTCTAATAACGTCTAATATGAAATTGTGGAACTTTAGTTCTTTCGAAGCAAATTCTCACTCAACTAAAATCATTTCAATGTTCATAATTGGCTTACGATTTAGATTGAATTATTATTATTACGTTTTATTTTTTGAGAATTTTTAGTAGCACAATTCTTTCATAAATAGGCATGAGAAGCGCCCGAAATTCGCTTAAATTGATTTAATTAAAATTTTCCTGACAAACAAATAGTAAGTATATAATATCTCTTTTCCATGATTATATAGCGCAATAGTAAGTATAACCTAATCAGCAGCAACAACGATTCATTTACATTATAAATATTTTTTGAATGACTCAAATCTCATTCCAGGACATGATCTTCAGATTTGTTATGTATTCTTAATAAGCATAGTCTTTCCTCTCTTCAGCTAGCTTATGGACCTCACTGGACATCCTCCTGCAAGAGCTTTTGGCAATTGCCATTCAAGCCTGACAAGCCTTCAAATTGATTTGCATAGTGATAGGCAGTGAAATATAATAATGACAAGACAATCGGAAATACAATGAAAGCCGTTTAGATTATCAGCTGAAAAGTGTCCCACACACTCGATTGTCGATCGGTGAATGTCGCCGACTCACTCTCTTCTTGCCTCTTCTTCCATCACTCTCTCTCTCGCTCACTCTTTTTCGTGGACTTCCAATTTTGGTCAATGCGGCTGACAACATCGCACATTGTGAGCCGTGCGACAGCCATTGGCGTCCATCAGTCGGGCAGTTGCCAATCAAACAAAAGTCACAGGCAATGGACAACTGTGGCAGCAGCAGCAGCAGGAGAAGGAGCAGCAGGAGGAGTATCATCAACAACAACAACAACAACTGCATAACGATATGCAAAATATGCAACAGTCTGGCAGCTTCTGTGCTGATGCAGCAGGAGCAGCAGCTGCAGCAGCACTCGACTCCTGCTTGTTGTCTGAGACGTTCGCCTGTCGCTTTGCGCCCAATTACGCCTTCAAATTGAGTGATAAATGTCTTAAGGATGGCACATAAATAAGCTGCAGTTAAATTTATTACACAACCCACACAAAGACTTCATAAAAATGCAAACTAAATGAACTATTAAGAGGCGGCGGCAAACATGAGAAGCAAATAAGAAACCCAGAAACCAAAGCCAATAAACAAACCGACAGCCGAAAAACAGAAAGAAAAAAAAAAAAAAAAAACTCTGCAAACGAAATTCAAGATCAGACAATTGAATTGCATTGCGCTTAAGCAAATAAATAAAAAGCGCGAGAGCAGAGAGAGAAAAAAAAATATAAGGGACAACAAACAAGTTACGAGTGCTGTGTGGCAAAGGGGGCGTGGCATGGGGAAGCCAGCAACAGCAGCAGCAGCAGCCACAGTCACAGCAGCCGTGTGAGAAAATATGCAAATAAATGCGCAAATAAAATGTGCAATCAACTGGAGATGGCGCACTGAGATCTGGCAACTGGCAACTGGCAACTGTGGCAACTGTGGCAACTGTGGCAACTGGCGACTTGCAACACGCAGCCAACCTTCCCCAACGTTACCTATTCCCCTTTCCAGCGAAATCCAAAGTGTGAATGTTGCGCATGCGCAGCGACCGCGTGGAGAACACTGCGCATCAATTAGGCCGCCAGGCGGCCAGGAACAGCAGCACGAATTGTCCAGAGAGTGCGCGATAAGCCAAAGGCTTGGACACGAAGAAGCAGAAGCCACACACACACACAAACAGACAAACACACACACAGTTGCATTCACATATACAAAACGTTTAGATAAACAAATACAGAAGAATGCTGAAATGATGTTAAAAGCTACAAAATGAAGTGGAAGCTGGCGGCCCTCGAAATAGGATTTAGTTAAAGGGGCATCTCGGCGGATTGGCGGCTTGAGCTGGATTCGCCGTGGACCCAAGCTGGCTGCAGCTACAAATTCAATGAACATGCGCGCGCACAGTTGAAGAGCAAACAAATTTATTACGCGCCGTTTGAACAGCGCATAAATTTAACAGCAGCAGCAGCAGCAGCAGCAGCAACAACAGTCGCAGTTGCAGTCGCAGTCACAGTCGCAGCTGCAGTCGCAGTTGCAGTCACAGTCAGAGAGGCAGCCAAGATTAACATACCTGGGCTAAAGCGACTGTCCGACCGACTGGGCCCAATCGATCGCTGTGGCTTGCGTGCAGCGTGCGTGATTTAAAAACAGCGCCACATTTGGCGAACATTTACGTGGACTTGTCCCAAAACTACGTAAAACGATTTAAAGCCGAACACGAGCAATTTGTGGATAGGCTGCAGGCAGTCAACTGAGGAGAGGGGGCGAGCAGCGCTAAGCCGAAGACCAAATGCTCTTGGAGCTATATAAATGGTGAATAGATTTATAAAGAATTGTTGTCGCTTAAAATTCGAACAAAAATATTATATGAGGGCATGGATTGACGGATAGAACGACTGATAGACAGGGAGTGTCATACAAAAAAAAAAGAGAAAGCGATCTTGAAACTGTTCAGTTTAATTGGGAAATCTTTCTGGAAAACTGAAAAAAATCATATGACGATGATCATTATTATTATAAGCAAATCATGTCATATATCTATATATCCCTATCTCTAGGTAGGGCTCGATTAGAATATAACTATATCCCCATCTCAAGGAAGAGTAAGATTAGAATATACATTCAAAGAAAGATATCATAGAGAATTCATATCATATCATAATCTTATGCTTTAGGAAAAAAAAAAAACTTTTCAAAGAAAAACTCATTTTATCAATTTTATCAATTGTATCTTTGGAGAACTGTAAAATAAATGTTGGTAGAGTTTCAGATTCAACTTAGGCTGAGAACCAACTCTTAACTGAACTTCAAAGTGATTTTATTAGATATATGGATGGAATTAATCTATATCAGCTATTATTATAATATACATATATGCTTTTACAGGAATCAGAAGTGCAGAAACATGTCTCTAAAGTGGGGGAACATATCTCCGTGTATTTCACATTTAATGCCTTTCAATCTCATATAAATATTTGACATCTTCCACATTAAACGTTTCCAATTGTTGCACATCTCTCGACTAGCTGTTAATACCCTTTCGCATAGCATAACAAAAAAAAAATAAAACAAAAAGGAAAAAGAAAACCTGGCAACAACTCTTGTCTGCAGTCGTCTCTGCCCACCCGCTGGCTGGGCGCGCACTGAGGCAACGGCCGCGGCTGTGTCACATTTCTCATTTTGGAATTTATGCGCACATTCAATTGATTGTTGAGCGTTTCATGTTTTTGTTTTTATTTCATTTTTTCCTTCGTTTTTTGCCTTCTTTGAGCCAACATTATGTAATTCAATATGTTTTAGCGTCTAATAACGTCTGCACTGAAATCAATATACTAGAAGCGAGTATGTTAATTTTGGTTCGGAGCTAGCTCAGTTCCACTGAACTGTCTGCAATGTCATTTACAGTTCCGCATTAGAGTCGGAGTCGGAGTCGGAGTCGGAGTCACAGTCCGAGCTGGAGCTGCGGGACCCCACACTTATTAAAAACATGCAGCGCTGTGACATTTCGATTTATTTTTATTGATTCTCCAGAGCACAGCGTGTGGAGCAGGAGTTGGTGGTGGATCGGGACGGGAGGGGACGGGTGGGAACGGGTCGGGGTCGAGGTGAGGCCTCACTGAAATGCAAGTCAGGCGCCGCTGGCACGCAAGTGATCATCACACCTTGATAAGGTGCTCGGGACGCGAGAGCTCATGCCCCAAAACGTATCGAATTTTATTGAAATGCAGCGCTGCATATGTATGTGTGTGCGTGTGTGTGTTATCTGAGTGTTGGCTGTGCATTTGTTACTTTTATGCTTGATTTATTGACTTTATTTTATGGTCGCTTGATTGGACACTAAATGAGTTTTTAAACTGCATACGAAGCGGGGCGGGCCTTATCAATTTTGGTTGCCTTTATATATATATATTTGTTGTTGTTGTTGCTGCTGCTTCTGCTGCTGCTGCTATCCAATGTGAAGTTTTGTTCTGCAGTTGGTATGTGAGCCACTTACTTTTACATTTAAACCACGTCAGACAAAACGTTTCGATTTTATTGCGGATATGAAATTCTTCGGCTCTTTGCCTTGCTTCAAACTTACCTGGAAAGAGACGGAAAAAGAAGCGAATAAAGAAAATGTTAATTAAATTGTTTTTCTTCAGGTTGTTCGTTTTCAGTAAAAATTAAATATTATAGACTCTAGAGGGCAGCTCAATAAGCAAAGAAATTCTCTGTGCTTATAAAAGGTAAATAAATTATGATAATAATTTACCTGGAAGGCCAATTGCTAAGGTTATTCTTATATATTCTAATATCTTATCAAATAGCTATAAACAGATTCTTATGCAAATGCGCAAAGCTATCTCCAACTCAATTCAACTACTGACGTAGATCACTCAAACATAATCGCCGTTTCCTGCTCATATCGAGGGGTTTATGATAATTTTGATCTCTCGATCCTCTTGGCGCCTGTCAAGTACTTAGAGGATCTGTAGAGCTCTCATGCCGTATCGCATGTCTATCGCTGCCCACTTTGATTTCTCCTCTCCTCTATCCGCTTGCCGCTTTCCATGCCACCATGCCGCAAGAGGCAAATTGAAGCTCGCAGTTAGCTGCAACTCATGTCAAACTGATTTGAATATGTTGCCCACGCATAACATATTTAGTTATTACCAAAAGCGAACATCAAAGTCGTGCACGGCCCAAGACATGGGCACCCCGCAACTTCAGAAATCATGTTAACTATTATTAAATCTATAAGCAAAACCAACAACAACAGCAACAACAACAACAACAGCAGCGAGAGTCGGCGTGAATAGCAGAAATGTCCATCAAAGCAGCTCAGGCAAATGATGCAGAATACTTTTTAATTAAACATAAAATTACTTTGGCGCAGTCAGACAGTCAAAGAGACGGAGAGACAGAGAGACAGACAGACTGGGAGACTGAGAGACTGAGAGACAGCACTGCGCTACACAACACAGCTGGCAATAAATCATGAAATCTACTTGGCAAACAACTCTCGAGTGTTGGGCGAGTCGCGGCGATTGGGTAGAGGCAGGGACCGGCTCTAGTCGGCACGTAATAATCATTTACATGAACACTCGCATAAATGTCACGTTGCTACGATTATAAAAATAGCCAGAAAAAAAAAAAAAAAAAAAAATAAACTTTAAAACTCGAACTCGAACTAATGGAGCTGGTCCGTCCGTACAGGAGGAATCGTTACTGAGAGATTTTTCTGCTGGATCTGCTAGGCAGCTAGGCTGCTAGGCCGCTAGCCAGTTTGGTTCTATCGTTTGGCCGCCTCTGGCAGTCATATATTAATGAAATTTTATTTGCTTATGCAATGAGGGAAACATAACAAAGCGCCCCGCATGCCGCTGCACTAGCCCATCTATATTAATGAAAGCATATCCTGCTTAAAAGCGCGCCCGTACCACGCCAGGTGGAAAAATTCAATTTCCAGGCCATGCTCTGCCTGCTGCCTCCTGTTTGCCGCCTGCCGCCTCCTGTTTGCCGCCTGCCGTTTGCCATTCGCATCCAGGAGGTTGGAAAACAAGTTGCATCCGCAATTAAGTCATCAAGTTGCAATTATTGCCATAAAAACGAACAAAACGCAGCCAGCCAGCAGAAAAAAAAAAATCTCTGGCCACGCATGAACGTGATGCTGTGCGGGGCCAGGGAAAGGTATAGGGAGAGGGGCCAACTGGCAGCTCAGGCACTGAGTGGCTCCCATAGCCGTGACTGCGACGGCGACTGTGGCAGCGGCTGTAGCTCTGCCTGTGGCTGGGGTGTTGACGCTCAGCGGGGCAGCGCTTCGTGAGAGACTTAAACAAACAAAACACAAAAAAACCAAAATAAAAATAAATAAAAAATCGAGAAAAAAAGTGGAGATACAACAGAAAATCAAGCAAGACCAGGCGCGCAGATACATATTGCAGTTACAGATACGGCTTAAGATACAGATACGGCCGCAGATACAGATACATACGCGCGGCTTACGCGCAGATAAATTATTTTCTTCTGCTGCTTCTTCTTCGTTTGCTTCGTTTATGTTTTTGTTTTTGTTTTTGTTTTTGTATTGCCAACTCCAAGACGAAATGCAGTCGGCAGTTGGCATCGTAGCTGGGGCAACCAGTTGCTCTTTGGCTTAATTAAAAGCTGCTGCACTGCTGGATTGTTACACGGATTCAATGAGATTGCTTTAGTTTGGGCTGCAGCGAGCCAGTGAACAGAGAGAGAGAGAGAGAGAGAGAGAGAGAGAGAGAGAGAGAGAGATAGGCAGAGAGAGAGATAGAGACAACTCGCATGTTGGCTTTTTATTTGGCTTTCATGCTGCGGTCGGCTGGACAAGTCGTTGCTGAAATGACACTACAATGTCTTCAAAATGAAAATAAATACGACGCGACGACAACAGCAACAACAACAACAGCAACAGCAACAACAAGAGCAATGGGCCGCATTGTGGCCGCCGCAACACGCCGGCAACTGGGCTACATGTTACACATTAAAGCCGCGACCCGGCGCGCTCCGATACGGCCTCGTCTTGACTCTTCTTGCCTCGGCTCTCGGCGCGACTCGGCCACATTCTGTGGCAGCCTTTTGTTTTGTTTGCTTTTCTGATTTCGCAGCCAAGCGCAACGCTGACAATGACTTTGCTCTTTTTGCTTTTTATTTGTATTTTTTATAAGTAGTTTTTTTCACTCACTCACTCACTCTCTCTCTCTCTCTCTATCTGTCTGCCTATATCTGGTCTGGTATTTTTTCTCATTTTTATGCTGCGTCTGCTCAGTGTTTTATAAATCTCATTTCAAGAGGATTTGTGTGCCTGTCAAAATGTTGATGTTTCACAAAACACTCCGCATTGAGTGCGTGTGCATGTGTGCATGTGTGTATGTCTGTGTGTGTGTGTGAGCTCTGCTCGATTTCAATCATGATCGATTTCAGTTTGCTTGACTTTTGGTTACTTTTGATCTGCGCTGCGGCGGCTGCCTGGGAATTAAAGTGCAAGATTTATACGATTTCTCGACGCATTGAATTACTCGCGCATCCAGCTGAATGACTTGTGGTGAAGTGTATCTGTATCTGTATCTGTATCTGTATCTGTATCTGTATCTGTATCTGTATCTGTATCTGTATCTGTATCTGTATCTGTATCTGTATCTGTATCTGTATCTGTATCTGTATCTGTATCTGTATCTGTATCTGTATCTGTATCTGTATCTGTATCTGTATCTGTCTTTGTATCTGCCTAAAGCTGTCTGTTTGACTCTCACAATCAGTCGCGCTTGCGGCCAAATAACAACAATTTGTTTGCCTTATAAAGATAATGCAACAACAAAGGCATTATACACACACACACACACACTCGCACACACACACAATCATCATTATCGAAATGTCATAAAAGCAAATGAGCGTTCATTATTCAATTTTCAACTGCAAACGCAGCAGCTGGCAAACAACTTAATACAAAGGCAAAACAGCAGCTACGCAAAGCCCCCCAAAATGTTGTTGCCAAAGAATGCGAATCGCGTCGAGTCCGGCAAATATATAAAAGTAAATGTTTCAACTGCCACAAATGCCCTTTCACTGCGCCAGCAGACGCCAACAACAGCAACAGCAAGAACAACAACAACAAACAAAAAATTAAGCATAATTACTGACAGCAATTCGGAGTCGACTCGGTCTTGGCCACACAGGCGCGCTTTTGGCCGGGCCAACGCAACCAGAATTGGCTAAGATACGTGCAGACTGGCCGACTGGCCGACTGGCCCTCGCTGGCCCTCCGTCTGTCTGTCCGCCTGGATTGCAACGATTTC